ATTTGTTTATTTGTTTGAAAAAGTCAAAACTACAAATATTCTTTTATTTCTATTAATTTTATGTTAAAGTATTGTTTGGATTAGTTCCCTAGAAAATATTTACATTTACATTTAGTCATTTAGCAGACGCTTTATATTATGTTAAGTTTGCTTGCTGTTTTTATTTATTTATTTTATAAGCTCACTCTTATATCTGCACCTCAAAGTCAATTTAGCACTGCTGTTTAATCATCGTTGAGTTTTTATATAATGCATATTATTATTATTATTATTATTAATATTACTGTTGTTGTTGTTTATGTTGTTAATGTTCATATTAATGTTATTCAATATGATGTATTGCTGAAGGAGAATGGAGTTTGTTTGTCAATGACAATTCTCATTACTCAAACTACTCATTATTATTTACAAACAAAACTGCATAAATTCCACAGTGGCATACGCAGACCATTACTGCAAAATATTAAATGTCAAAACAAAACAGTTGTAGACAGAAAAGTAATAAAGATGGTTTTTGCATGATTATGATTTATTTCTCATTACCTAACTATTTAGTTATTCATTTATTTAATTTCATGCATAATTTGTCAAATGATTAATTTAATGATTAATAATTAGCAAATAACAAATGAAGAAAACAGTTACAGTGAAATACCGTGTTTCCTTGCTATTTGTGGGGGTGAATTGCTGTGCTTTTTGCTTGTTGTTTATTGATTTTTTTTTCTTTATTGTATTAACTTGCATATTTATTTATTTATTTATTTATTTATTTCACTGGATTAACAATAAGGAGGACCAGTTCCAACCAAAATGCTTGTTTTTGTATTTATTTATTTGTTTGTTTGTTTGTTTGTTTGTTTATTTGTTCGTTCATTCATTCATTCATTTGTTTATTTATTTGCTTGCTTGCTTGTTTACTTGCATAGCTATTAATGAATGAATGATTGAATGAATGAATGAATGAATGAATTAGGTTAGTTAGTTAGTTAGTTAGTTAGTTAGTTAGTTAGTTAGTTAGTTAGTTAGTTAGTTAGTTAGTTAGTTAGTTAGTTAGTTAGTTAGTTTACTGGTTTAACAAAACTGAAATCATGACTAAAATATTGGGTATTTTTGGGTTATATCTTATAATTAGATTTTAATTACTTGTATTTCATTAATTTCCATAGCTACATTTATTTATTTTTATTTATTTATTTATTTATTTATTTGTCTGTTTGTTTGTTTATTTATTTATTTATTTATTTAAAAGTGATGACTACAAATATTATAAAGTTTTAATTCTGCATTTTACCCTGTGGTTTTTACAGTACAATACAGTGTTTTTTGGTGGTGAATTGCTGTGTTTTTAGCTTTGTTGGTTAATTATTTTATTTTACTTTATTTTATTTACTTTTATATCTATTATATATATATGAGTGAGTGACTGTTCACAATTTACATCACATTTAAATAAAAACCTAACATATATATATATATATATATGTGTGTGTGTGTGTGTGTGTGTGTGTGTGTGTGTGTGTGTGTGTGTGTGTGTGTGTGTGTGTGTGTGTGTGTGTGTGTGTTTATACTATATTATATATATTAGTTTTTTTATATTATATTAAGTTTTTATGTGATGTAAATCGTGAAAACTCACTGCTTATTGTACCCTATAGCTTTTACAGTAAGGTACAGTGTTTCCTTGTTTTTTACTGTGCTCTTTCTGCTTGTATCTTGTTGTTTGCTCATTTTTCCGATACAGTAACCTCTCAATAATCTGCATGTCTCTGTTGATCAGATCTGCGGTGAGAAACGAGTGTAGAAAAGCTCTTGCAGTCATCAAGCGCTCAATACACATCCATCATCAGCTGTTTTTAATCCATACTGTCAGCGATCAATAATCCCTCACTCATACAGCACTAATCAATGACTCTGATCGGCTTGATCCCGCAGACACACACAGCTGAATTAATTTACTGATGGAGGACATTAGCAGAGCTGTGATGAATGTAGTTAACAGTGTGTGTGTGTGTGTGTGTGTGTGTGTGTGTAAGTGTAAGTGTGTGTGTGTGTGTGGTTCTGGTATTCAGGACATTGTGAGGACCAAATATCCAAAAGTGTAGCAATACCATTTCTGGCAGCATGGTAGCCCAGTGGTTAGCACAGTCACCTCACAACAAGAAGAGCACTAGTTTGAGTCTCGGCTGGGTCAGTTGGTGTTTCTGTGTGGAGTTTGCATGTTCTCCCCGTGTTGGTGTGGGTTTCCTCCGGGTGCTCCGGTTTCCCCCACAGTCCAAACACATGCGCTATAGGGGAACTGATCAACTACACTGGCCATAGTGTATGAGTGTGTATGGGTGTCTTCCCAGTACTTGGTTGCAGCTGGAAGGGCATCCACTGTGTAAAACATATGCTGGAATAGTTGGCGGTTCATTCTGCTGTGGAGACCTCTGATAAATAAGGGACTAAGCTGAGGGAAAATGGCGAATGATTGAAGAGTTTGTGCATTTTGTGTTTATTTGCGGTGGTGAATTGCATTATGGGATGTTGATCTCTGCTTTGTCCACTTCTGATGTTGAAAATTCAACTCTTTTATTGTGACTTTATAAATTTGGAATTAATTTACAAGTAAAAAAAATTGTATTAATCCGCGGGTCACGTGTGTTCCGAACCGTGAGTTGTGATCCATACGAATTACGGATAAACAGTGATCTCCTAACAGAAACCTATGTAATGTCCCCACAATTTACAAAAACAAATGTGTGTGTGTGTTTGTGTGTGTATATGTGTGTGTAAAGTGTTTGTATCATCTGTGGTGTTATTGATGATGTGTCTCGCGTTCACTTTGATCACAGGAATGAAGTGTTTATTGATTATTGATAATCATTCCTCATTCTAGCAGAACATGTGCAGAACTGAATAGAGTTTGATGAGTGTGTGTGTGTGTGTGTGTGTGTGTGTGTGTGTGTGTGTGTGTGTGTGTTCATTACTGTACTTCAGATGATCAGTAACTGATGAAATATGTCTATACTCTGCTGTGTTATTGTTGAACTGGACTAAAGCTGAGAGCTCCACATCTCCTGTGTTTGACTGTTCCACTGTCTGATGATGATGCTCCTCTTCAAGACTAATGACGCTCTCTCTCTCTCTCTTTCTTTCTGTGTGTGTGTGTGTGTGTGTGTGTGTGTGTCTGTCTGCCTGCCTATGTGTGTGTCTGTCTTTCTGTCTGTCTGCCTATATGTGTGTGTGTGTCTGTCTGCCTGCCTAAATGTGTGTGTGCATGTGTGTGTGTGTCTGCCTGTCTAAATTTGTGTGTTTGTGTCTGTAATTGTGTGTGTATGTGTGTGTGTCTGTCTATTTACCTATATGTGTGTGTATCTGTATGCCCGCCTGCCTGCCTGCCTAAATGTGTCTATATATGTGTGTCTGTCTGCCTGCCTATATGTGTGTGTCTATATGTGTGTGTCTATATGTGTGTGTCTGTCTGTCTGCCTGCCTATATGTGTGTGTCTATATGTGTGTGTCTGTCTGCCTGCCTATATGTGTGTCCATGTGTGTGTCTGTCTGCCTGCCTATATGTGTGTCTATATGTGTGTGTCTGTCTGCCTGCCTATATGTGTGTCTATATGTGTGTGTCTGTCTGCCTGTCTATATGTGTGTCCATATGTGTGTGTGTGTGTCTGCCTGCCTATATGTGTCTGTATGTGTGTGTCTGTCTGCCTGCCTATATGTGTGTGTCTATGTGTGTGTCTGTCTGCCTACCTATATGTGTGTCTATATGTATGTGTCTATATGTGTGTGTCTGTCTGCCTGCCTATATGTGTGTCTATATGTGTGTGTCTGTCTGCCTGCCTATATGTGTGTGTGTGTCTGCCTGCCTATATGTGTGTCTATATGTGTGTGTCTGTCTGCCTGCCTATATGTGTGTCTATATGTGTGTGTCTATATGTGTGTGTGTGTCTGCCTGTCTAAATTTGTGTGTGTGTGTCTGTAATTGTGTGTGTATGTGTGTGTGTCTGTCTATTTACCTATATGTGTGTGTATCTGTATGCCCGCCTGCCTGCCTGCCTAAATGTGTCTATATATGTGTGTCTGTCCGCCTGCCTATATGTGTGTGTCTATATGTGTGTGTCTATATGTGTGTGTCTGTCTGCCTGCCTATATGTGTGTGTCTATATGTGTGTGTCTGTCTGCCTGCCTATATGTGTGTCCATGTGTGTGTCTGTCTGCCTGCCTATATGTGTGTCTATATGTGTGTGTCTGTCTGCCTGCCTATATGTGTGTCTATATGTGTGTGTCTGTCTGCCTGCCTATATGTGTGTCCATATGTGTGTGTGTGTGTGTCTGCCTGCCTATATGTGTCTGTATGTGTGTGTCTGTCTGCCTGCCTATATGTGTGTGTCTATGTGTGTGTCTGTCTGCCTACCTATATGTGTGTCTATTTGTGTGTGTCTGTCTGCCTGCCTATACGTGTGTCTATATGTGTGTGTCTGTCTGCCTGCCTATATGTGTGTGTGTGTCTGCCTGCCTATATGTGTGTCTATATGTGTGTGTCTGTCTGCCTGCCTATATGTGTGTCTATATGTGTGTGTCTATATGTGTGTGTGTGTCTGCCTGCCTATATGTGTGTCTATATGTGTGTGTCTGTCTGCCTGCCTATATGTGTGTCTATATGTGTGTGTCTATATGTGTGTGTCTGTCTGCCTGCCTATATGTGTGTCTATATGTGTGTGTCTGTCTGCCTGCCTATATGTGTGTCTATATGTGTGTGTCTATATGTGTGTGTGTGTCTGCCTGCCTATACGTGTGTCTATATGTGTGTGTCTGTCTGCCTGCCTATATGTGTGTCTATATGTGTGTGTCTGTCTGCCTGCCTATATGTGTGTCTATATGTGTGTGTCTGTCTGCCTGCCTATATTTGTGCTTGTGTATGTGTGCTTGCCTATATGTGTGTGTCTGCCTGCCTATATATATATATGTGTGTGTGTGTGTGCGTGTGTGTGTGTGTGTCTGTGTTCCAGGTTGACGGTCTGGAGAAGCAGGTGGGTCGGTCTCTAGATTATGTGGATCCGGGATCAACAGGTAGCGTTTTCAAGAGCGTCCCGTACGGCGGACTGAAGCCCCCCACACACACCTCCCGAATATTCCCCCCTGTCGACCACAAGCCCAAACCACCACCACCCGGCTTCAGCTTCCACAACCCGTACGAGTGGGCACGCAACCAGACGCACCTGCCGGACCAGAGTGGCTACCGGCCCAAACGCAAGCCCACCCTCAAGACCTCCATGAAGACCAAGAAGATCTTCGGCTGGGGCGACTTCTACTTCAACGTCAAGACGCTCAAATTCAGCCTCCTGGTGACCGGGAAGATCGTGGACCACATCAACGGGACGTTCACCGTTTACTTCAGGCACAACTCGTCCAGTCTGGGGAACGTTTCGGTCAGCATCGTCCCGCCCACCAAAATCGTAGAGTTCGAAATTCAAAACCCCTTGCATCCTGAGATCCAGTTCCACCCGCCGCAACAATCCACCATCGACCCCAAGGACATCAAGACCTTTAACTGCCGTGTGGAGTACGAGAAGACGGACCGCTCCAAAAAGCCCAAGCCCTGCCTGTACGACCCGTCGCAGACCTGCTTCACGGAGAACACACAGTCACACTCGTCCTGGCTCTGCGCAAAACCCTTTAAGGTCATCTGCATCTTCATCTCCTTCTTCAGCATCGATTATAAGCTGGTGCAGAAGGTCTGCCCGGACTACAACTTTCAGAGCGAACACCCGTACTTCGGCTGAGTCCTTGATTCGTGTGTATATAGCAGGATGGAGTCTGTGGATTTATCGCCTCGTCTGTTCCTGTCTGTTGGACTGCTGAGGTCTTTGCGCATTCAAGTCTGAAATTTTCCTGCATTTTTCTTTTCTCCATATTTTATTCCATCTGATGCATATTCGGGGATGAATCAAGTCAGTCATGATGCGTTTGTTCTCATTCGGTCTTCTCGATTGGTCAGAATTAATCTGCAGAAACATTTCACGGCAACTGCTGGAGTTAAAACAAAGATTACAGGTCAATTAGACCTAATGAGAGGTCTTCATGGGTCCACTGAGGTCTGAAAAATAAGTGTGGTTTATTTATAAACTAATTTCGAGAGGATCACGTGCTTATGATCAACACATCTGGCATATCATTAGCTCCGTAATCTGCCCTATTAGATGATTAGGGAAGCAATATAAATAACCAGAGTTTTTCACTCCAGTTATCTTCATCTTGAAGCTTCCACTCCTACTTTCCACCCTTTTTTCTGATAGGTCGACACGGTGGACCAGTGGCTAGCACTGTTGCCTCACAGCAAGAACACCGCTGGTCCAACCTCCTATCAGGCCGGTTGACATTTCTGAGCCGAGTTTCCATGTTCTCCCCTTATACGCGTGGGTTTCCCCCGGGTTCCCCACTTTCCTCCCACCATCCAAAACAACACACCATGGCCAACAACTAAACCAAATTATCACCCAAGAGAACTTTAGTTTACACTTCTCACAAGGAGACAAGCAGGGGAGTTCTCGAGAACCTACCTGCTCCAACTCCTCTCTCGCCCTTCTAACTGGAGGGAGCCTTGGGCTTGTGGATATTATGAGCTCAGGGCTCTCTCCCGGGACAGCATGCCAATTAGGCTTTATTGATTATCAGCTAAGTGTCAACTCTTGAAATGTCCAATTTGTGACAATGGTCTTCTCAAATGGTCAAAACTAATGTGCAGAAAGATTAAATGGCAACTCCTGGAATTAAAACAAAGGTTGAAGATTACTTAGACTAAATTACAGCTCTTCATGGGTCCATGACGTCTGAAAATGAAATGTCCAATAAAGTAAAAACAAATCGTGTATTTGTTTGAAGTAAAATTTCTCCTTGTAGTCAGATTAGTGCATCTGTCACAAATAAATAGCAAAACAATTCGGGAATAAATCAAGTATTTCCTTATTCGTGTATAGAAGGATCGAGTCTGTTGATTTATAGACGTGTCTGTTGAACTGTAAAGGTCTTTGCACATAAAATCTAAAATTTTAGTGCATTTTTTTTGACAGTATTCACACTGAGCCTAATGCATATTTGTTGATCTGTAATAAATAAAATGCAAAACAATATGGGCATGAATAGAGCCATTTATGATGCGCTGTTCTTCTCAGTTGGTCTTCTCGATTGGTCATAATTAATGAGCAGAAAAATTGAATGGCAACTCCTAGAATTAAAACAAACATTAAAGATTATTTAGACCAAACTAGAGCTCTTCACGGATCCACTGACGTCTGAAAAAAAGTTCAATAAAGTGCAATGTTTAATAAACTGCAAATCAGTTATTCATTCATTCATTTTCTTGTAGGCTTAGTCCCTTTATTAATCCGGGGTCACCACAGCGGAATGAACCACCAACTTATACAGCAAGTTTTTTTTACACAGCGGATGCCCATCCAGCCGCAACACATCTCTGGGAAACATCCACACACACATTCACACACACACTCATACACACTTCCTTCAATTTAGCCTACCCAATTCCCCCATAGCGCATGTCTTTGGACTGTGGGGGAAACCCCCATTCACGGCAGGGAGAACATGCAAACTCCACACAGAAACGCCAACTGAACCGAGGTTTAAACCAGCGACCCAGCCACCTTCTTGCTGTGAGTCGACAGCACTACCTACTGCGCCACTGCCTCACCCTCAAATCAGTTAATCAGGGTTAAAACGAGTCAATCATGATGCATTTGTTGTTCACACTCACATTTCTTTGCTAATCTGCTTTTGGAATGGTCAGAATTAATGCACAGAAAATTATTATGGCAACTTAAACTTTAAAAGGTTAAAGATTAATTACACCAAATTAGACGTCTGAAAATCTGAAGTCTGACTCAGATTTAACTTGTATCCATCAGACAGTCGATAATATGTAGTTAAAATACATTAAAGAAAAGTTTAAATAAAATAAATGCACCTTTAGTGAAAGAAATTGAGGTTATATGCACATGTCAAGTCAGGATTGAAAATAAATGTCAGTTCAAATCCAAAACTTTTGTGTTTTTTTTTGTTTTTTTTTGTTCTTCTCATATTTTTCCATCAAAATTCGCCGTGTAGTCTGATGAAAATGTGAAACCATTTGGGGTTAAATCAAGTCATTCAAGATGTGTTTGTTCTTCTCACGCAAATGTGTGATGTTGATTTTATTTGACTGCTTTTAACACATCTTACACAGGGATGCCAATAATTGTGGAGGGCACTGAAACTTATTTTTAACGTGCGAAAAGTTCAGATTCTGCAGTGTGCAATGACCTTTGGGATGATTTCACATCTGCAGTTCAGTCCTGTGGCCTGATCCAAGAGCAGAAATGATACATTGTATCAATGATGGGTGATCATGTACACTGAGACATTGTATCAAACTGCATCGATACATTGATACATTGTATCATGATGTATTCTGATGTACTCTATCATACTACACTAATACATTGTATCATTATACATGGACACATTGATACATTCACATGATACATGATACATTGTATCATGATACACTGATGCATTCTACACTACACTGATACATTGATACATTGTATCGTGATGTATTCTGATGTACTCTATCATACTGCATTGATACACTGTATCATTATACTTGGACACATTGATACATTCGCTCACACTATATTTTTGCATTGTATCATTTGTTCAGCTTTTGTGTTTCCTTTTCACACCTCTACAGCTCTGCTTCCATCCTCCTGTATTTCTGTGCTCTTTTGTTTCTCATTGACTGGAAACATTGCTTTATTCATAAAAGTTTTACAGAAGTTTTGCATATGAATTTAATTCACATTTTTGGATGGAAACACAGCTACTGATTCCTATTTAAAACAAGCCAAACTGCAACCTTCAGAATCACTCACTCACTCAAACTCATTAAACTGCATTCCATGACCACTCCTGGAATTAAAACAAAGGCTATTTAGAGCAAATTAGAGGTCCACTTGGATCTGAAAAGCTGATTTCTGACTCAGATATAACTTGTATCCATCCGACAGTTGCTAATATAAAGTGAGGTACAGATTTTAGGACCCATGACGACCTACATTTCTCTAAAAACAACAAACTTGTCTCCATCCCATAATGCACAGCACATCTGAATACAGCAGCTGGTTTAATCCAGAAATGTGTGCTTTACTGTTGCTTGTTGGGTTGATTGGATCCCGTTCTCAACATAAACGAAGCACTCCAGGATTGTGCTGTATTCACGAACTTGAAGTGAACAACGGACTGAATCAAATGGAAACGTGAACACTAATGTGATTCAGCGGAACTAAAGGAGCAGGTGTGAAAGGACCCGCTGGAGAACAGGAGCGTCTGCTTTTCAGTGTGATTTAGGAGATCAAAGCCAGCTTTCATCATCTGCTATCAAATCACAAAGATTCAGTCTGAACCGAATCATTTGAAGGATTCCCTCCTGTTCAAATCAACAGCCACTGGACTAGACCTGACTGACCGATGATAATGACGCTGATGAAGAGGATGATGATCACTGAATATCAGATGAAGGACAACTAGATCTGTGATGTCGTGGAGAGACAGACGCTGATCATGAACACATGTTATTTTCTTTTGAACGACTCGCGTTGATCAATTATTCATGAATATGTCATTATGAACAAAATATGAAAATTTCAGGTGGAGTTTATATTATACTCTCTATAGAAACAAAAACTGCTGGACTGTTTTAACCCAATGACCCAAATGTTGGGTTTAGAAGTGTCATTTAAATCTAGAATTGAAAATATTAACCCAGCTATTGGGTTTGTCCAGATGTGACCCAATGTTATGTTACAAAAACCCAGTTCATGAACACAAAATGAAATATTAATTACTGCTATGGCTTTTTATTCTCTTTAAAAAGTCAGAACGTTTTACGCCATAGTCATTCATTGTTCACATGAGGTTCATTTATACACTCTAAAATGTGCTGGGTTGTATTAAACCCAATGCTGGATAAAATATAGACAAAGCCAAATGTTAGATTTAAAACTGTAATTTAAATAATTTATCAAAAACATTAACCCAAGTGTTGGGTTTGTTCAAATTTGACCCAACATTATGATTACAACCCAGCATTTTTTTAAGAGTGGATGATTTGTTACATTATGGCTGATTCATGAATCTGCCATAATGAACACAAGATAAAATATGAAATGTTATTATAGCTTATTATGATTATTCTTTTTTCATTCCTCTGTATTTGACACAATATGGACTGTAAAAGGCTCTATAGAATTAAAGATGAATTGAAAATATGAAAATATCGATATCAGTTTGAGGGTAAATCACTCAAAAAAAATTAATATGCTAGATTAGTTTAACCCAATGGGTCAAATATATACAAGCCCAAATGTTGGGTTTAAAAATGTCATTTGAATCTATAATTGAAAAAAACATTAACCCATCTGTTGGTTTTGTTTAAATTTGACCCAGCATCATGTCATAACAACCCAGCATTTTTTATTGTGTGTGTCCAATAATGGGCGAACCCAAATGTTGGCTTTAAAGTGTAATATAAATCTATAATTGTAAAAAAAAAAACAACCCAACTGTTGGGTTTGTCCAAATGTGACCCAACATTAAAACAACCCAGCAACAACATAAGATGAAATATAAATGGTTATTATGGCTTTTTATTCTCTTTAAAAAGCCAGAGCTGTTACGCCATAAACATTTATTATTTTCACACGAGGTTTAATTATGCACTCTAAAATGTGCTGGGTTGTTTTAAACCCAATGCTGGATAAAATATAGACAAAGCCAAATGTTAAGTTTAAAACTGTAATTTAAATCTTTTATTAAGAACATTAACCCAAGTGTTGGGTTTGTTCAACATCATTTTATAACAACCCAACATTGTTTTAAGAGTGGATGACTGATTCATGAATCTGCCATAATGAACACAAGATAAAATATGAAATATTATTATAGCTATAAATATGATTATTATTTTCATTCCTCTGCATTTGACACAATATGAATGGTAAAAGGCTCTATAGAATTAAAGATGAATTGATTTGAAAATATGAAAATATCGATATCAGTTTGAGGGTAGATCATCTAAAAAAAATTAAAATGTGGGATCGGTTTAACCCAATAGGTCAAATATAGACAAGCCCAAATGTTGGGTTTAAAAAAGTCATTTAAATCTATAATTGAAAAAAACATTAACCCAGCTGTTGGGTTTGTCCACATGTGACCCAATGTTAAAA